AATTTTGAAAAGAACAGGCTTTATGTTTCTTAAACTACGTGCATTTATGAAAGTTCTTAAGAAGTTCAAAACTTTTAACCAATAGTTTTATTGTTGGAATGACATATAGCAAGACTTGCATTGGCTACTAAGAAAGTTAGTAGCCGGTAGTCATCGGGTTAACATGCCAGGAGTTAGATAGTTCAAAGAGGTATTGTATGCTTTGTTGCAACTTGGGAAAAGCTAAATAGTTTAAGGATTTTTTTGAATGCTTATAATTTGTTTTAACATGTCAAAAGCTAGTTCAAGAAATCATTGTATACCTTGTAGCATGCCAGAAGCTATAGATAGCTCAAGGAGCTTTTGTATACTTTGTTGAAACATTCAAATATTAAATAATTCAAGGAATTATTGTGTGCTTCACTACAGTTGTTTAGTGCTGTCTGACCTTGTTATTCATATTTCTCTTAAATAGTTATTGAAATCAATGCCATCTTCAGAAAAGACCAAAGATTCAGAAAAATTATCATGTTCAGCACCAGCTTCACCATCTCATTCTCTTGAATCATCATGTTCTATAGTCCATCAGCCACTGGCTACTCGTGATCAAGGCTTTGTTCTTGCTCCAACCCCAGCACAATTACGTAGAGCCCCAGGTAAACCTCTCACTACCTTAAGTTCAACATCCAAGTCTACATCCAATCAGTCAGTACGTCCAATACTTCAAAAAGAAGTAGCTAGCCCAAGAAAACCGATCCTAAAACGCAATTTTGATGATGGAATGGATAAGTATGTTTCCTGCATTTGGTTGTATTTGTAAAACTAATTATCAGTAAGTGTTAAATATACTGGAGTTTTCTTATTTATTTTAAACATAGCACATTAGGAAGTACTTTATTTTGATGTAACAAATAATTATATTCCATAAAACATCATCAGGTTCTCAATACCTAATGTGTATTTATCTTTTCTTGCTATAAACTTGTATTGTTTTTTTTATTATTATTATCAGAAACAACTGAAACGATAATAATTTGGTTGACTTAAGAAAGCCATCTCTCACCACTATCAGCCTATGCATTTCAGAGTTATGTGTATCTTTGTCAGCCTTAATTATTGCACTTTGGGGATGTTATGTAGCACCACAAACTTCATGTTAATGTATAAAATGAGCATTGAGTCAGTTATTATTTAATTTTGTTTGTATAGTTGATAGCTGTCTTGTTGTGCTGTTAGTTTAGAATTTCTTTTAAAAGTAAGAATAATAATTATAACTTCTGATCAGAGTAAGCTATGTACTTAGAGTGAAACTCAAAATCAACCTGGCCATCAGTAAAGCTAACTAAATATACTTTTTTTATGTTTGATCTTATAAAGATTAGAATGCATTGTTCCATCAATTAGGCTTCCTCACTATTTATGATATATTTGGCCACAATCCCAATAACATCCCATGAGGTTCAGCCAGTTTAGGAAATTTTGTTTATTCCTAAGTACATATTTTAACCCTCTTGCTATGGCCATTCTTTTCTGTGCACCTCACAAGGTCTAACTGAGTTACATTTCAAATTTAATTAAGCTACGTTTTTATCACAGTATATGAATAAACTTGGCATAAAACATAGCTAATAATTAAAATTTTAATATTATATAAGTTTTAAGTTCTTAACTTTATAAGGCAATATTTAAAAAACCTGAATTTTTCCTAGTTTGAGAATTGTTACATTTGCTCTCTAGGTATGCCTTCTTTTCTAATTTATTTACCACCCCCCTGAGAAGTACAAAATTAAACAAAAATTACTCATTATGATGTTGTCATTTCTCGGGCAAAGCATAATTGTTAAGGCCTTCAATCTTATTTGGTTAAAGAGCCATAAAATGGAAAATCAGCTCACCTGTCAAATCCTCTCTTTCAGAAATTGCCAATAGTTCTCTCTGACGTTTAATACTATAGTATTCATAACCAATATAAAGCCAAAGTTTTAATCTATCAAATGATGTATTATATTACATTGTTTTCTGTACAAAGAATTGTCTGTTTCACTTTCAGTTCAAACTTTATTCCCATGAGAAACACAGCAACAAGCTTATTGATTTTTAACAGCTCTTGTTGCATAGTTGGAAAGCCAGAAAAATGTGTGTGTGTGTGTTTTTCTTACAGCAAAGCCACATCGGGCTATCTGCTGTGTCCACTGAGGGGAATTGAACCTCTGATTTTAGCATTGTAAGTCCAAAGACTTACTGCTATGGTGATAGTTATAGGACAATGTTTACTTTTTGCATGTTATTATTCTGTTCTTTGGTGCATTATTTAATTAAATAAAAATTATTTAGTGCAGTAGTACCATTAGTATAAAAAAAAAATGTGGATAAATTTCATCGACAGTCAACAGCAAGAAAAAAAAAAGACCCAAATAAATACTATATTTCTTGTTTTTCATCTGTATTCTTTATTTAGTATTATAAAAGTAACTAAAATGTAAAAATTAAAAACTTTTTAGGTTAGATTAGGTAAAATAAAGAACAATAATGATAATAATAAAAATATTTCACAAGGTATACTAAGTATAGACAGATGTATGCAGTTTAAAGCTATTTAGGATAAACAAATGTTGTTTCTTGTTACAATTTGAAGTCATTCTAGAAAGAAATGAGCAATCAGAGAGACTACATACCCCCACCTCATTGCTTCTTTTCAAGATTAAATGAATTTATATTGGATAACAGAAAATTTCACCTTCGAAAACTCAGAAAATCCTTCTCAGATCCAAAATGATCAACAATCCAGATGATTTTTTGTAGTGTGATGAGGAGTCTCACTTTAATGTGCCCGTGAAATTTGGTACAAATCCAATCACATTTTACAGAGTTATTAACTGAAAACTGTGTAAATGCTCTATCTCCCCATTATAAAAATGCTTCAAAGTGATCCAGAATCTGGACAAAATTAGGAGAGGACTCTCCCATACTGACTTCCCATCTTGTGTAAAATCTTTGTGTACATTGGTGTATTAGTTTTTGAGATAGACATTCAGAAACACAGACACCCCCCTCCCCCTCTGGGGGATAGGGTAAAAAAGGGTAACTTAGATTTAATTCAAATTAATTGAACGGTAGTTATAAGATCGAGCAAGTCGATAAGCCTCGTATAAAGTTAGGTTTGAGAAAATAACAGATAAAGTATAAAGTTTTATGGGAAAAAAAGTCTGAAACTTATTTAGGATGTTTTATAGATTATGCAAATAAAGTTAGAGATATTTCAGATCAAGAAAAGTATTTTCAATCTTAACATTAAAATCACTTTGCACTGGAAGCAGTGAACGCTTTCACTCCATATATTCATAGAAAAATGTTTAGGGATAATATTTCATTAATAACTCTGATTTTTTATTTACAAATGACTCTTAATACTTACTGAAAGCTTGCAAAATTTCATGATGATACACAAAACATATTGGAAGTTATAGTATGGAAACTAAAGGTCACTTTGGGGTCAGTTTTTGGGTCGAATCAACTGAAATCGTAGCAAGAGAGTTAAGCCAGCAGTGCAAAACAATGTTTATAATAAAAGTAGAATAATATGCAATAAGTTCAAAATAAAAAAAATATTGACATTCGGTATACTAACAAACATAAACAACACTGTTATTGAAAGATAAATAATATGGTATACCTTACTTAGGAAACACAGGAATATTAGCTGTTGGCTTGAGCTATTGGTGAAGAAGTAAATATCTTGCAAAGTTGTAACATATAGCTTAGTAATATCACAAGCCTTGAGAACTGATGCAAAGTATGATATATACTTAAAAAATGTTTAGACCTTTCAATTATGCATTTCAAAACATAACTAATACATAATTAATTAAAATATAAAAGTTAGACCTAAATACAGTTTAACCCTTTCACAACAAGTACCTCTTTAAACCCTTTTCTGCACAAGTCACTGTGTTATATTCAGAATTTAATTGAATATCAATGTATGTAAATGAAATTAACATTATAATGGATGTTATGATTTAAAGTTTTATGTTATCAAAGTTTAAGTTTTTTACTTGAAAAAAACCTTAAAAAACTACTTGAAACTTCAGATGTATTGTCATATGACCAACGAGCTCTGAATATTCTTCATTTTGCACTCTATATCTTTAATAATGCAATGGAAGTTGAGTTGATGTATGTCTTGACTATAAGATGCTTACATAACTTTTTGACTCATACATTTCAACCCCTGACAGGTGCAATGCCCACCTTCAACAGATTTGTTTGAGCTTTATAGCCTACATGTAGATGTTACATACATATGTGTATAGTCATTAGAAAGAGCTCATTTTACAGTATAATCTAACAATGGTGATTTTGAAATTTGTGCACAGTTGTCATCACAAAGTACATGTAACTGACTATAGTATTGTTGGTTGCTTCATCGACTATAACACATAGGGCAAGATTTCATGATTATTTGAACTAGTGGCAGAATGTTTGAGATTTTCTGCTCATAGACATGAAAACTATTGCTAATTAATATTTGGTTTTTAACAATTTATAAAAGATTGTATGCACAAAAGAAACAATTAATATACTGGTACCATATTTTATTAGAAGTTTGTTTGAGTTTTATTTCTTGAAAATTCTGTTTTTTTGCATTGAAAGGTAATGAGTTATTTGATGACATAAAGAACAGTTGTAGAAACATTTTATATATTACTAATTTACTTTTGCGTATGAGAACCCTAAACACATTTTACTTGTGGTATATTCTGGTTTTCCCCCACAAGCTAATTCAATAATACAAATCAAGGAAACATAAAAGAAAGTTCCAGCCGGGTGGTGGTCCGTTGCAATTTATATATATATATATATATGTATTAATGAAAATTAATAACTTGTAAACATTACTAAATCAGAAACAAAGACATTTCAAATATTAAGCGTGATGACCACTAATTTTTGCTTCAATTACATTTTAGTGTGGTGAATTTGCAATTTATTTTAAGATCAAAACATACCTGTACAGTTGGCCTAAAAGCCAGGATTCATGCTTTTAGAATACATCCATTGTCTAATGACGTTATGTGCTAGCTCACTTTGTTAAAATAAATTTTGTGATAAAATGTATATTCTTAAAATTAATATCAACAGATATTAGTTACCATAATTAAAGTTAAATTTATACTCCATTTAGAAGTTATGTGTAACATTTTCAAAAAGTTCCCCTACTAACTAACTTCATGGGAGGACAGATTTCTCCTTAAGATTTCATAGTTTAAAATTACAAATGGAGTTTTTGTAAAGTCAAAAGCAACTGCCAAAGTAACTATTTCATCAAAATAAACAAGCAAACATGAGAACTAATATGATTAATATATTGACCATGGTGTATTGAGATTATTTGTTGGCACATGACTAAGAAAGCCTTATGATGTAGTAATTAAAAAATCAGAGGTTTACAATCCATTTCAGAAAGAAAGCAAGCTTTGTGTCAAATATATTACAAAAATGAAAATAATCCCAGTTTTCAAACAATTCATTTTTGATTTCATTAGCTGTACAAGTCTGGTAATTACCAAAAGAAGTACAGTTAAGAGAATTTTATAGTTTTGGACATCAAAATAATGATTTTAAACTATTTTGAGCTAGAAATAAGTAAGACTACAAATTCTATACCAAAACCAATACCTCTATTTAAACATTTTATATGTAGCTTTTATATTGTGATTGATGAAGTGGTAGAAATCAGACAGAATTTTTTAAGTGATGTCATTTACTTTTGTAAAATGATAAGATACAGGAGATACTAAGCTAGAAGAGGTTAAAGTTATAAATTTTTTTGTTGCAACTTTATATGTCTGTTCTGTCTCACTCTTAACTCTGGTATATTTGGTTATTACTATTTCAATGAAATGAGATCTGGATCCTCTTTTATCAGCATTTCTTTAATTTATTTAATATCAACTAAGTGGTTACTAATTTTGTAATTTTATTATTTAAAGTGAATGAAATAATAACTATATTCTTTGTTACTAGGATCTTAGAAAAAGTCAACTTTGAAGCTAGGTTTGCAAAGCTTCCAGAATTTGAGCCCCACAGATCTCCATCTGCTACAGCATCTGTTCCAAATTCTCCCATTGCTTTTGCCCAAAGTTACCATAGGCAAAATATATCTACAGGTATATAATTGTATTAAGTATTATATAAGTTTTAAACCAGAATTTTTTTTCTACAAAAGTGAGCCTAAATGTTTTTATTTTACCGTGGATAATATTTATCTAAATGTTATTGTATTTTATCATAATTACTGTCATAAGTTATCATCATTTTAGTTTGTTCTTCATAATTTTTGTATGTCATAAAATTATAGTTTTCCTGAGCTCTTACTAGGAAACCTGAGACTGCATAACTATCATTGAGTTAGTTTCAAACATCTTGAAAAATTGTCATATGTACATATCCTTTGGTTAATGTGAGTTGTATTTTTAATTACCTGTACAGAAATATCTGTAATATTCATTATATATTTTTGACAGACTGACTATTTCACCTTTACTTTGTTTCCTGAAACTTGTGTCTAAGTTATTATAGGATTCAGCTGGAAATCCTGGATATTCTACTATAAGCTGAACTACATCTTTGTAAGTTTGAAATAAATACTAAACACAAAAACGTAGTTCCTATCAATTTGTAAGCCACAAGTTTTAACCCAAAGTCAGAAATTCCTTGTCAGAACTACCTTGACAGCTAGGAAATTTCAGGTTTTAAACCGTATGATATTATTTCCAATTATACTGACTTCATAAATTCCATGTACTATAGACTTTGTTGAAATAATTAAGTGGTTTCAGCATGGAATTAGATTTTAATTCCAAAAGAGTTGAGTTCTGTACAGTTTGTAGCCATATTTAAAAGGTTTCAGCATGGAATCAGATTACTAATGCCAGAGTTTAATCCTATAAACTTTATATAACCATACTTAAAAGGTTTCAACATGAAACCATACTTTCATAGTACCAACAGAACTCAGTGCTGTAAACTTTATAACCATATTTAAAAGGTTTCAGCATGGAGCCACACAACTAATTGAAAAACTTTCCAGTCCCACTGGAGGTCAAAAATAAATCTTTATTGGATAGTATTTCCATAATGTGGCTAACTTGATGATTGAAATAGTTTAAAACTTCTTTCCTCATTTGATCAACAAATTATCAAATATGTGAATGACTAAGTAGGTTTCATACTTGTGGGACAAGTAAAAGTCTCAATTAGTAGTATTGATGGTAAATCAAACTATTCACTGAGTCAACTTAATGTTTGGGTAAATAAATACTTCAGTTCTTTTTTATTACTGAAACATTTAACATCTATTTTATTGGATTTTAGTAACTGATATATTTAATAGTTCATTTACTACTGATTCCATAAACACATTTTCCTGGAATTTTTGTGTGGAATAATTATATCTGTTAGAAATTGCAATTTGCAATATTTAGTTAGTCTCCATGTTTTTATTTTACCAGTAATTTTGTTCTTTGTGACTTTAAATTTCATCGACAATATCAATCTCTGGAGTTTGACTGTATTTTGGAACTTTGTTGGGATTATTAGCACAGTTGATTTATTAGTTTTGTGTGGTAAGTACTTTATAACTATATTAAATATTTCAGAATATGTGTTAGTTTCTAGAGCAAGTGTATGTTTCACAGTTCTTATTTGTATAAGCCTAAAGATTTGTTAGTTTTATTAATAAGTCTGAACATTATCTACAGAAAATGAAAATGGAGAAGGAGGAACCAAAGGTTCTACTAACTATTCTGGTATTAAAGGTGAAATTCAAAGAACTCCAAAAAGTGCCAAGTGTGAAGGAAATAAATTCTTTGGGCCAAATTTCAACCTTGATGTGGAGAATCATTCTTATCTGAAAGGTGGAGATCTCTTTAAAACATTGCTAAGTTTTTGAAAACATTTATATTCAACAAAAGACAGTAATTAAAACCTCGTTAATAAAATACTTGTATTGTAATTAGATGTTATTCCTAAAATAACTTAAACCAGTTTTTACAGATTTTGATAATGCAGCATTTGTGTACATTTAATGAATCAAATGATATTAATTATTGAAATATTAAACAGAAAATATGATCTAGACAAAAAAATTAAACATATTATGTAATCCTTGGCTTTTAGAACTAACAGAGGAAGTTTATTCACCTCGTACACCTAAGACACCCAAGACACCCAGTGATGGAGAAAAAGGGCAGTCACGAAGGATTCTAGACCAGCGTAGGCAGTTGGTTTTACAGTTGTTTCAAAAAGAAGTGCCTATCCAACAGGTAAATGTTATAAATATTAATTTTTCTTTTGTAATCTGTAAAAATATATAAGGTCCATTTTCTTGATTGAGTTTTAACTATTTCCTGATGGGCTCGTTATAAAGTACACGAGTTTGTATACACATTTGCACACGTTAAGTATTTATACTCTAAATTTTAATGCAGAATGTGTATCTTCACAAAATTTGGTAGACTTTTAGTAAACATTACAAGTCTTTTATATACCAAAAATCAGATTTTTATAATAAAGTATTTTTACTAAAGATTTGTTTGTGAATATATTGAGTCTGTTTTGTTACTAGTCCGAGTGCGAAGTGATTTTCATATTATGATTAAAAATTTATTCTTTGTCCCAAAAATCTCAAATATCATTTGTGTAATCTGTACAACCTCTGAAATACATTTCAAATGTTTGTTTTCAGAATGAAGAAGAGTTCATTCAGGGTTAATAACCTTACATCTTTTCCAGCTAATAACATTTCATATTTAGTGTTTCACATTTGTTGATGTAAAAACATTATTTTGTTTGTAATTTTTTTAGTATGTGTATGTATTTGAAAAGTGGTATTTTGGCCAATATAAATGGCCAGACAATCTAAACAAGCAATCTCACAAATAACATGGACTTATGACAATATAAATTATGAATTTTGGGGTGGAATAGCATTTGTATGAACACATAGTTCTAATATCAATATTTTTGAGATCCTTTGGATATTTTCTGAGATGTCATTAATATATGAAAATAAAATTTATTTTTCATATTCAGTATTATTTGTTATTGACTTATCTTTGATGCAGGTTTCATCTTTTTCTGTTGGATTTTTGTAACTCTGTTTGGGTATCTGTTCCTTAAAATATAACTTTGGTTATTTTTAATTCTTATACTTGGTTTGATTTTTTACTGAGGATTAAACTTGCTACGTGTAAAAAGGTTTGAACTACAGATTATTTATGACAATTAGGTGATGAAAATTAAGATATAAATGTCTGTAAGTATGTGTTGGTCTATAGTATACACCATTTTCAAGTTTTCATTCTTCCATGTGAGTGAAGAGAATATCAGTAAATGTTCTCTTTCTACTATAAACTGAATGTTGTTTGTTTTGTTTATTTAAGTGAGAATGAAACATGTCAACATTATCACTATCTAACACAGTGAAAAAATTGCTAAAGTAGTGTCGTCATATGACCACTGATCTACGAATGGAAATGATTCTCTCACTTTCTGATTTTTACATTACTGCATTTGCCATGACTGATGAGTGTTGGAGAGCTCACAGCTTTGTCATGAACTTTTTTATAACGTTGAATGTTATACATGAATTAAATTGCTTCTAAACAGAATTTTACCACTTGTAGAATGTTCTCAATTTTTTACATCTGTCAGATAGTTTACATGTTCTGCAGGTAAATGGTAGCACACAGTAATACTAAATCAAAGGATAATATTATTTCTCCAAGGTTAATCTTAAGATTCAAGTGAATTTTTTCATATTATAACCATTATTTCCAGTTATTGGAATGATTGTTGACTGGGTCAGTGGTTCCCAACCTTTTACCCACTGAGGACCAACTAGTTGCAATCACAAAATTTCATTAACTGCTTTGTACAATATTAACTTTTTAAAAGCGCTTTTATATTACACTGTAAAACAATATACTTCAGTAGCAATATTCCAAAATGTCTTTTTTTTTCAATTGTTTTGTGGACCAGGTGAAATCTCCTTGTAGTCTGGCACTGGTCCATGAACCAGTGAAGGGGAGTTGATTAAAGACACAAAAGGCCTCAATAGTGTATTATTCTTATGTAGTTTTAGGAGTCTATAGAGCAGTGAGAAGCAAGATGATTCATTGCTGTGTTTAAACAGGTTTTAGAAATCATGCTTTGGTGGTACAGTAGTTAAATTAAGGTGTCTTGATACTAGCACTGTATGTAATTTATATTGTAAAAGGCTTTGTCATGTTAAAAGCCCACCCCTCTATTCTGTAACTTTTAATAATCCATTTAATATATGAGGATATTGGTTCCCCAGCACCTATATCAACAGCTGATCTGATCCTGGAAATTTGACCAATATGTATTCATATAGGTCTCTTTCTGGTTGGTCCTAATATCTTAGATTGATCCATATTTCTTTTTTTTTTTCCAATGCCATTAAGTACAAGGGATATCCACATGTTTTATATTCTAAATTCCTATTCTGAACACATCTTTATGACCTGAATGTATGAATATTTTGCCTTGGAAATAGGGTCTGTCAAATACATTTCCAAAAGTGATAAATTTACAGTGGCATCGTACTATCTACAAAATACCAAACAATGTCAAAATCTAGTTCTGATGCATTATGTTCTACCTTGACTTTATATCATTTGTGGTTGTCAAGTGACTTACTGACTTGCATTTTAATATAACATACTCAACCTTCTGTATAACCATTAAGAGTTTTAAAAAAAATGTTATCCCACCCCAAATACCCCATTAATATTGCAACTTAAACTGATACTACTTGTGAGATTTTTGTTTAGATAGTCCAGCCATTTATACTGGATAAACTGCCAGATGTTCCAAATATAAAAGAGACTTCAAACAAGGTAATTTTTTAGATCATTGATTGCACAATACACTCTGAACACAAAATGTTATAAACTGGGAAGGATGTAAGATAATTGATCACAAGCATAACCAAAATATTCTAATTTTCTTGAGTCTTTGCACATAAATACAAAGTTAAAACTCAATCAAGATAATAGACCTTACTACATCTTTAGCCAAGACTTACGTTTATTAAATAAAAACTAAAACTGAATAATTAATAATTGTAAATTATTCTTCAACTTATTATAATTTTAAGATCAGTTTTATAAGTTCACTATAGCATAGTTTCTTCAGGAAAAGTTTGTTATATCTATCCTGCTTATTTGGTACGTATGCTACATGCCTTTCTTGTATCATGTTTCTAAATCTTGTTAATTCTCACAGTTTTGTTCATATTTTTACATCTCTGAAGAACAGAATCATTGTTTCTCAAAATGTTGAAACAAAGTTGTATTTTTTTCTGCATTTACTTAATTAGTGTAAAAATAACAAATATATTGTCATCATATTTGAACTGTGAAAAATTAAAATTAAAGTTGTGTTATAAGAACATAAATTACTTCATACAATTTTTATTTTTCGTACATATTAAGAAAAATTATAACTATTTTCTTTGCCTATTTTATGTTGCTTAGGTTTACAGAATTTTTAGAAAGATTTAACCCTTTCACTGTGTAATTAGATTTCACAGTCAGTTCCCAATCAGTGTCATTTCTCCATCAAACAACATTGTAAATTAGCAATATATTTCACTGTATTATGCATTATGATATATAAGATACACTTACATTGCATATCTTAACGTAATGGCATCAATAATGTACCTAAATTATGGAAAAACATAGAGTTAATATGACAATCAGCTGATATCTTCATTTGCTGGTTGAGGCCCCAGCTGAGGGATTGTGTATACTTGTTTCCAGTCATGCTTTCAGATGCAGATGTTGAGCTAATGTGGGGATTGCTTACATCTAATACTTCTTGCACATCTGATTAGATTTAACACAAACATATTCACTTCATTGTGTTGTTAACTATGTGTGAAAAGAGTTATTAAGAAATTGTATGTGAAACGAAGGAATCATCAATGAAATTAATGACATTTACAATCTCTTTAAGTTAATCACTTAGGAAGTTACAAAATGATATGATTAATAAGTCATTGGGCAAATACAGGTTAACCTTTTTGTAATTAACCCCTATTATTGATTCTTTGAACCCTAATCTGTTACAGATGCCCTTCTTTGATAATGCTTTTATTTCAAAATTGTAAGAAAATCTGTAGAGTCATTCTGTAGTTTTGCCGATTTATGTCAGATCTTTTCCTAAACATCTTCAGAAAAAAGGAAAATAATCATGTAATACACAGTCTAGCTGAGTAATATAATTTCTGTTATAGTGAATCATTAAAAAAATAAAAAAATCTTATACTTTTCAATTTTACCTGGTGAAATGTAAATTATTGACATTTTTCTGCTGTACATACTTTTAGAGTTTTTAATTCAAAGTAGAAATGCATTCATATACCATGTGTTTAAATTTTCTGTTTATGGAGTTTTCTGGCAGTTCATAGGTGATTCAATTATACTAAAAGCTTTCAGACCATAAAGCTCATCAGCTTGACTGAACTCTAAAAATTAATACATCTCTTCTGTCATCAAAAGTCAATGAATTTTTTTGGTGGTCATTGAGCTGATTCTAAATAAGCTAGAACATTTTGTAGTTCATAATAATTTTTTAGGTTAGTTTCCTTTGGTTGGCATTTACAGTGCTGGAAATTACTTAACTTTGCACATTACCAGCAGAACCTGCATCATAGTTTCAAGTTGATTAGGCAGCTTTACCATTTTTGAAAATTTTTTGAAGACATGATAACACCTTTCATTTGCTTTGTACAGTAAGGAAGACACAATTCTTTGGTGTACATACGTTATATTTTATCTTTTTTAAACTTCCTTAACTAAAAATTTTTAATATTGTAGAACAGCTTTCCTGCTTTGGCATACAGATTGGCCTTGTGGATTCTGTTTCAAACCATCTGTTCACTTCTGATATGATGCATAACTCCACTCATGTATAAAGCTTCTTTTGATCTTGGACTGCCCTCTAATGCATTAGAAATCTAAATTCTCACTTAATGTTGAGTACTCTTGGTATTTCTGTATTGGCCAGCTCAACCTTGGTTCCCTCTTCTTGAGCATTTGCAGATGTCACCTCCTCTGTCTCCATCGTTCCTCTGTCAACCTCATTTGGATGTCTTTCATCCCACCTTACCCATCCTCCAGCTTCACACTCAGCTTTTGACTGGCATGGGTCTGATACAGTGTGTTACTTCTCTTCTTTCATGTTCTGTCCATTCTTCTACTGTGTCAGTTTACCAACGCTGTTGGTCTACTTTTCTTTATTCTCAATCGAATCCTGATCCCCTTCTGTGTTGTGTTTGGGCATTACTTCCCCTTTCCAGAGTTCCTATTCCCATTTGTTTATTTCCTGGGATCTTGCTGTTTCTCTTTATCTTTCTCCAATCACTCTTAGGGGTTGGATTTGTCAGCTTATTTGGTTAATCTACTCTTCTATTTCCAGCGAAGGGCATCATCTTTATCATGTCTTCTCTCATCAAATTCACCACATTACTATATAATTGAATGCTCATTTTCATTGCCCTATGGAGGAGATTATCAAGACTGGTATGTGGATTACTATTAATACTTTTGTATTGCATTTGTTTGTATCCTTCACTGGCAGATATAGTCTCCCTCCAATGACAATTCTACATGCTTCAGTTCAGTTATGACATTTGATGTTCTTGTTCAGTTTTTGCAGGGGTCTCCCTTCTGTTAGTTCCTTATTGGGATCCTGTTTTGTGGTAGATGTTGTCTGGTCAGGTATGTTAAGATATTTCTATATCTAGTCTAAAACCCGCATCTGCTACATTTACGGTGTAACACACACTGTTGAGATGGGGTGTTCTGCAAGATCACTAGTGGCTTACCTAGTCATGTATATTACATCATATCTATATCCAATTCTTTAAATGGTGGACCATCATTCATGCGCTATCATGAGTAAAGCAGAAAGGGATTGCTGCTCATCCCTTGATTGAATCAATTGGGAATGGCCTGCTTTTCAAAATAGGGTTTCATATTGTACATGAAAAACTAAATCTTCAAATCCAATGATTTTGTTTACATTCTTCTGTAATTTTATCATTACAGAAGACCGGTAGTGAGCATTTTCCAGTCTGTTGAGTACAATAAGACATTATGTTTTAACCACATAAACTATAAGTGAGACATTTGTTAGAGGAATTTCTAATGGTAACGATTTATCATATTTCTTACTGTATTGGGTTTACAATCTGCTCACCCTGGTCACGTAATCCATATTTCTCCTCTATTGAATCTTTGGCGCTGTCCTGCACCTCATAATACCAAGGATGGGATGTGGAACCTCGTCTTTATTGTTGGGGTTGGACTTTCTGCCACATCTTTTAAGGCTTTTCCATTATTCGTTAGGTACTCGATGCTGCCTGTTTCACAACATTTCACTTCTTCACTGGCAAAGGGCATACTTGTTCCAGAACTGGTGCAGTCCCCCTCTAGTGTTCTTTCATACAGTTACCACACACACTTGTTAGATTCTTTGGGGACGCTTTACCTAGGGAGTCTATTATTCTTTCTGTTACACTGATCCCTCCACCTACTCAATGTGGAGTTCTAGCTTTATATGTGAGGGGGTCTATTATTCTTTCTGTTACACTGATTCCTCCACCTACTCAATGTGGAGTTCTAGCTTTATATGTGAGGGGAGGTATGTATTGTATAGGAAGTTATCATTTTCCTACACTGAAAATAAATTTTCAATAGATACCTCTCCTCACATACTTCCCACCCTTCCTCTCCACTTCTAGTGTTTATCTTTTTTCATGGTGTGCCTAATCTCAAAAGTGAGGTACACAGAATGTAAAACCAAGGGAGCCAGCTGCTCAGGGAGTGTGTGTCATGCTGCATTGGTGAAGGGTTGTCGCATGCACCAGGCATGCTAAATTTGCAGTGGGAAATGAAGGGTATAAAAATGCTAGTACATTAGGTGAGAATTAAGATTTTTAAAGAGAAGTTTTATATGTGAGAGGAGACAAATATCTATTGGAAATCTATTTTCAGTGTAGGAAAATGATAAATTACATACCATCATCTTCAGTAGTGGAGCCTGTTCTGTATGGGTATAGCTAGCCAGAATCTACATAGTGATCATCTGCTTGTGTTGTAGATTATGCCTTAGATTCTTTATTCTGCTAATAATGCTTTGAGTCTATTTGAAACAGCATGTTGTGATTGGCTGGCTTTTATATGTCCAGTGGCTTTCCATATAAGTTAAACATCCAAGTCTTTTCTATGTGGTTTAGCCATTGTTCAAGAGCAATTAAAATAATTTTGAATTCTGTACTACACCTCAAAGTGAGACAAGAAGATATGAGGCTACTGAATAACTAGTTATTTGCATTTTGGATATCATGATTGGTGATCATATGTTTGATTTTCATAAGAATGAACTGTTGGGAGAGGTTATTGACATTATTTTATAACAGTGATCTTGCTTTGTCATAGCTGTAATATTACAAATTCTTATTATCCTTTATTTCATATGTAAAATTTTCTTGTGCACTTGTGTTCATGCAGCTCAAGCCACAGCTGCATTTCAACATCAACACCGTGACATTTTCCCCACCAAATACAAACTCCAGTTAAAAATTCGTGAAGTTCGTCAGAAGTTGATGTCAAGTTCCAGTGTCAATTCTGCTAATCCTTCTACTCCAACATTGGGTAACCAGGCTGAAGTCGAAAACTTCAACTCATCTCCAGGCAGTCCAGCAACTTCACAAACACTACAGACATTAATGCCACCACCATCTGTGTCAAAGACATCCTCCAATCCTTCTACACCCTCACATTCACAAGGACAACCAATATTTGGTGAAAAATAATCATTTTGTTTTCACAAAGTTTTGTGATTTTTTTTTATTCACTGAACATTTTATTTCTTTATCTTCCCAAATGTTATAAGTTATTGTTGAATTTAGTGGCAAAATTTTAACCACATAAACTATAAGTGAGACATTTGTTAGAGGAATTTCTAATGGTAACGATTTATCATATTTCTTACTGTTGGTCACTGAACAGTAAGAAAAAGTGTCAAGTCCATAGGATACGTCTGGGTGTGATATGGTTTTTGTAATACATTTCCTTGAAAGGATTATTTAGTTATTGATGCATGTAGATTACTACATATTGTAGCACTTTTTTGTCACTAATATTTGACCATTTTTGAAACTTAAACTAGTTTAGAAAGGTTCAAGATATAAATTATCTTTGGTTTCATATAATTTAAGTGTTTGCTAACAGGAGGCATGTTTAAAAAATATGAAAAAATTTTGATAACTGTACAAGTCATTAGTTTCTTATTTTCATCAGCTCTTCCTTTGTGTAGATGCCTGTTATTTTGTCACGTATTTTTTAATATTGATCATTACTATCTGTTTTTGCATAAGTGTATCAACTACAATGGAATCTTAAAGAGATTATTTTTAGTTTAAAACTGATTTTCTGTTTTTGACTCCTCTGCTGATTAAGTTTGTTGTGACAAAAAAGTGTATTGTTTAAAATTTAAAGTTAAACAATTGTTTATTAGAATACTTATAAGAAAGCTTTAACAATATAAAAATGCAATGTCAAATTAAAATGATCTTATTACACAGTAGTTGTTATGTATAGAACAAAACAATCCAGGGTATGCTCATGAAAAAAAACAGCTAAACAGGCATGAAACTAATACAAGTATGTTAAATAACCTCTAAAATACCTTTTAGCCTTTCATCTTCCTTAGAGAAAACTAGCACACAAAAGAGAGGATATGAAGTTTGTAGGGCTGCCCCCAAAGATTTTCCTAGTCGACTAGTAGTCGTTAGTTCAAACCATTAGTCGACTAGTCGTTGCACGTTTATGATATTAATTTAATTATCTAAATATATATTTTTTGGTCCTCCAAGTTTATCTTAATTTCATTGTTCTCTCCTTCTATCTGCTGCTCTTCGTCAGTAGCCATCAGCATGGATATCTCCTGCTGCTTTTCCCTTTTCTTCTTTGGTGTGGACACACTTTTCTCTGTACTGCTGTTGCGATCCGCTAGAGATAAACTCTCAGCCCGATCTGACACCATCATGTACGCCTCATCCCGTTTCTCTGCATCGAGGAATGACAAACTCCTAAAACGTGGGTCTAGGACAGCAGCTTGGATATATATGCTGGTTTTGAAACTTCCTGTGAGCTCCCATCTCTTGTCAATTTCTTTGGTTAGTTTCTCTTCAGTGCTTTCGTGGTTGTGCTGTCATCATCGTGCAGCAACAAGTGGCATCTCTTCATATTTATTAGCATGGGCAACGTGGCAGACAGAGATGCATTTACATCCTGCGAGAGCAGCTTGGTGAGAGTGATCATAGGTTTCAGCACCAAGACGATGTCCTTTGCTGTCCTCCAATGGGCAGTTGTGAGATCTAGTTCTCAGTCAGACCATTGGGGGGTACCGGGGTCTGAAAGCACAGCTGTAACCGGCCACCTCTGTTCCAGGAGGCACTCCAGCATGAAGTATGTGGAGTTCCATCGTGTGCCGAGACATCTTGGATGAGTTTTTGTTCAGCCACTTTCAGTTGCTTTTGTTTATCAGCAAGAGCTGCTGTAGCCTTGGCACTTTTCTTGAAATGCCCCAGAAAGCATCTGCCAGCAGCAATGGTTGACAGATCGGATCTTGTTTCAGAGCCGCATTTATGCACAACTGCAAAGTGTGCCCCGCACAAAGAACTCCCTGGACATTACTCCAGGATGGGTTATCAGACAGTAGTTCAGCGCACAACATCATATTAGCAGCATTGTCATGTACGACTGCGACCTTCTTTTTCTGCAGGAATCTCAAATTCCTCCATCACTTCACTGAGCCACTCTGATATGTTGGCAACTGTGTGGCTCACCTCCAACACTTTTGTTTCCAACACGAATGAATGTAGTCACCAATCTTCAGAAATAAAGTGTGCAGTGACTGTCATGTAACACTCCATCTGGTCAGAGGTCCATATGTTGTGAAGCTGACTACTGTACATCTTTAAATTTTCTTCAAAACTAATTTTTTAGTCATGTTGTACTTGCTTGTTATGCTGTGCATTATGGTGTCACGTTTGGGAATGCTGTACCCTGGCTCGAGGAATTTAACCATTTGCCTTCACCGCTGATGATGTTGACTGGTCTCATGTCAAGTGCAACGAAATCTGCTATTCTGTCCGTAATATCTCTCTTCCTTTTCTCAGAAGGGGGGGGGTCTCATAACTAGTGTTTTTTTGAGTCAATGTCGGTCGTGAAGATGAAGTTGAGGCTGGGGAGTTATTTTCGCAGTATAGTGAATGCGCCTCTAGAGAGAAGTGCACATGAAGTTAAACATGCAGTAAGCGAGAGAATTTTGATTCCCCAGTCCCCACAAACACTTGGATAAGCATAATAGCACATATGACAATATATTTATTCAACTGCATATAGCCTTAACTTTGCAATTCGTTAATGAAATGTAAAGTTAGATTAGGACCACAGTATAGCTCGCACTCCATCACAGTTTCAAAACCGCATATCCAAAGCTATCAAAATCCAACAAATCTGAAACAATGTCATGGAAAGGGTGCACTACATAATGTCTTAATTGCTCACTTCTCGTGTGATTTTGGCCTGCTAATAAGTTGAGCAGTGATGTTGAATGCCAAGGAATAGCCAAAGTAATCAAACACCTTTGCTTCGTGTTGTGGATAAACAAAGTGGATCACAAAATGAAAATACACACCAGCTTCGGTAATATTAAGTAAAAGACTTCTACTACTGGTCTGCTTGCTAGCTAACTATTTTGTTACTGATTCAGTGAGATTAACATAATTTTATCAGTGTTGTAGCCATCGCATCTCAAGGAAGCCAGCTCCTGGCCTGGCTGGCTGGATGTTAGAACGTTAAGTTCCGTTAGTGAGCAGCTGGCAAGCTCACTTTCATAACAAGCTAATGTACACAAATGCTTAAAAATTGACAATATCTCGTTTGTTTTCTTAAAAACTGTATACACCATGGTAAAGTAAAGGGATTGTAGTATCTGAGTGGCAGTGATATTCGACAGGTTCTCCCAGGCCAACACACAATTAGGACATTAATTATTTAGCATAATGGAATAATAACTTACATGTTTCAGATGATAAGTCATGTTTGAGGTCGACAAATTATAGGCGAATCTTTGCATGCAGAGTTTGCATATCACCTTCTTGAGGTCGTCCTTTACACGCTCGAAATGATCCCACATTTTGTATGATTTCCCACCCGACATAGTCTAATAACTTTTTAAAGACAAGGCGCAGCTCCCGAATGGAGTTTGAGGGTTTTTTGTTTTTTCTGCAACTAACCGACCAATGAAAACTTGGTCGACTAAGACTCTTCTCATCGACTAACGGTTTGGTCGACTATTAGGGGGCAGCCCTAGAAGTTTGAATGATCAGCTGAATTTATAATGAAAAATGTTACTTCTAGAAAGGCAGTTGATTGCTTGACATTAAGTTTTATTCATAAAATTTGCTAAATATAAAAAAAATCTGAGTTAGTACCAGTATTGTATCATATTTTTTGTGGGGACTGTTACTGTTCACTGTTTACATACTTCATCTTTCTACATTTTGTGGTCAAAAGCTGAGATATTATTTGCCACAAATTTTAAATTCTTTCGTATTAAACATTTATTAGCTGAACACTTGGTTAACAGGGCCATAGGTGGAAGCTTTACAGGAATGTTTGAAATGGTGACATGGAAATTAATTAGAGAGAGGGTGCTAATTAGAAGCTCTCATACAGCTAACACACTTGGTTAACAGGGCCATAGGTGGAAGATTCATAGGAATGTTTGAAATGGTGACATTGAAATTAATTAGAGAGAGGGTGCTAATTAGAAGCTCTTATATAGGTAAAACACTTGATTTGATCATAGCTTGTGGGTTGAGGAAAGTTGTCTGGATTAAGTGATCACCCATTTATGGACCAGGTTGGTGTATGTAAAGCTATGTCATCTTGGTATTCCTATAAAATCTAGCTCAGAATATTTAAAGGTAGTTTTATTTTAAACACATTATGTTGAAGTGTAACCTGTATGTGGGCATAACTAGGTTACACAAGACCAGAGTAAGTGGTGATGCGCACACTTTAGATAACCTAATCATAACTGATTATTTAAATTAAATACTTTATATATGTTTTAGGTTTGATGTAGGAATTGTTAATCACATTAGTGTTATGATGTAATTTGTAAAGTTGGTTAAATCCTCAGCATTCTATTGAAGATTAAATTTGGTTAAGCAAGCATCTGCATAAACTTCAATTAAGCAATATAAATTTTGCCAAAAAATAACATTTTGAAGTACAATACAGTCTTTTAAAAGATTTTACTTAAAAAACATCAAATCAAAATTAATTACTTTACTATGCTTTTTTTTTTAACTTTCTTGGTATTTTGATATCTTTAATGTAGTCTTGTTCTTAGTGTTTTTTATGAGATTAATTTAATTCTTTTGTATTCAGTTTTCTTAACTAATTTATTCTTTTACTAATCTGTGTGTTGATCATTAATGTTATTACGTTAAGATATTTATATGTTTCTATATCATAGAGGAAATGCTTCCTTGGTGTTAATTGAGAATAATTTTTTACTTTTGTAGTTTCTAAGATGTGGCTACTTAGCAAACATTTTTGAAATGTGGTCACTCTTTGCCTCAATAACTTGCTGTATTTTAGGTC